GCAGTGCCTCACACTGTGGCACTGGGTCAATAGGCATGTTGCAGGCTTAAGGCAACTGTTAGTTTTTAGTTGTGGGTTTACATCGGTACTTAAAACAAGCATAATGTGAATTGCTTGATGTTTGTGTGTGTGTGTGTGTGTGTGTGTGTGTGTGTGTGTGTGTACGCACTCCATATAACACTCAAACAAAATGCAGTCATAAAACAGCCCTGGCTCACAAACCCAGAACATTATGAAATCAGACAGCAAGTCAAATGATAACCAGAGTGAATCAAATGAGCAGCATTCCTTTCACATGCATTTCCATAGAACTTGGGAGGAGGAGGATTTGAGAAAAAGAGAGGAGGGGTATGCTAGCAGTGGGGAGAAGTTGGGTGGGACCACAGTAAGGAGCAGGCATCCTCTGGACACAGTTATAATGGGCAAAAGCAGTGGATTGTCCTACAAGGCATTTAGAGGAGGAAGGGCCCGTCTTCCAAGCATGGCAAAAAATCTTCCAGCTTAAGAATCAGGAAACAGGCTGGGCGTGGTGGCTCACACTTGTAATCCTAGCACTCTGGGAGGCTGAGGCAGGAGGATCACTTGAGCTCAGGGGTTTGAGACCAGCCTGAGCACGAATGAGACCCCATCTCTACTAAAAATAGAAAAATTAGCCGGGTGTGGTTGCACATACCTGTAGTCTCAACTACTTGGGAGGCTGAGACAGTAGGATTGCTTGAGCCCAAAAGTTTGAGGTTGCTGTGAGCTATGATGATGCCATTGCACTCTCTACCCAGTGTGACAGAGAAAGACCCTGTCTATAAAATAATTTTAAAAATTAAAAAATAAAAAGGAATCAGAAAACATTTTGATGTGTGACTCACATTTGACTCATGTGCTTTTCAAGTGGCTACAGGGCATCGTCACCCAGTTAGGTTCACTCAGCAACACTGAGCTTGATGCATGCCTATAAGACAAAATTTACCTCCTTATAAAAAATCCATACTGCCTTTGACCTTGGCCTGGGTTTAGGGTCAGCAGAGCCCTTCTCTGTGGTCCAGAACACCCGGGACCTTTGAGCTGTCCATGCAGCCTCTGCAGCACCAGGCTCCCTGGGTGAAAGAAACATGGGTGGCTTTGAGAGTTCTAATATTGCCTCTTCTCATTCTTGCTTCACAAGCCCAGAGATGCAGTCAAGGATCAGAGAAACACAAAGCGCAATGTCTGGAAGGGATGTCAGGGACCATTCAGTCCAATGTCTCTACAGGTAAAATAAAATGAAATGGAGAAAGGAGAAGAGGTGTGCTCAGGATGGGGCCACTCATGAGCAGTGGGACTAGAACTCCACTCTCAACTTCCAGTTCTGTGATTCTCATTCAACCGGGAGGGCTGTCAGTCACTCCAGGACTTTTTCAGAGAGCACAATGTCATTACTTTCTGTCTGACTCTTTTCCTGTGGTCTTCCATCAGGTCTGTTTATCTGTGTGTCCATCAACCCAGCAGAGACAGAGAAATGTGCCATCAACAACCAAATGCATCATGGCAACAGCCAACATAAATTACGAGTATTGTCAGAGGCTAGACTTGAACTTTCATCTGAGAAATGGACGTGGCATGCCCCAGCCCTCTTCCACAGTTCCACGATGGCTCCTCAGCCCACAAGCTGAGTCTCCACTTTCCTGCAATTGGGTGCAGACAGGAATTGATCAGACCACGGGCTCATCCATTTGGAACCAATGATTCCTTTACAGAAGCAGAAGCCCTACTTCTCAGGAAGAGAAGAAAAAGAGAAGAGAGAGAGAAGAAAAATGAAGGAGAAAATGGCAGAAGTTAAGAAGGAGGATATAAATGAACTCTCTCTGGTCTACACAGTATAAAAAGATCCAATCCAAACTACTAGACAAAAGTTTCTCAGTACTAACACTCTTGGTGCCTCTCTTCTAAGTTTCCAGTCCTGGAATAAGAAGTTTCACTTTCTCATCTCTCCACCCAAAATAAAACTTGAACTTCTCACTTCCTCATCTTTTCACTTTCAGCTCAGATCTCAGAAGCAGCCTCTTCTACACCTACCCTCGGGGCATATCTGGCCCCACTCCCCTACAGCCTTGAATGTCACAAGAAGTTCTTACATGTGCTCAGTCGCAAATATATTTTACCACTCTTTGCAGCTCCCACACATTCTTGGATTTCAAAAACCACTTTAGCACCAACTGGGGGCTATTCTGAGGTCCGGGCAGCTGTTACAAGGCTGTGTCATAGGTTCCCAAGCCCTGGAGAAAAGCAATCCCACACTGAGTGACCAGCCCATGACCCGGCAATCTCACCTGTTAGGTACATGTCACACCACTGTCCTCGGTTTCAGAGTCAGGCTCTCTTTCCTACAATATTAAGGTAGAAAGACATTATTTGAGATGAACTATAATTTATATGTAAATTTATCTCTGTGCTTGTTATTTATGGGTGTTTTTGTGTTTGTTTGTTTGTTTGTTTTTTAGCTGCTGTGTTCCTCATCCCAGCATGGTACTGTCAGCCCTAACCTGAGACACCAAGCAACGTGGCTCCCCCACCTTGGCAAGTCCCCATGCCCTGATGGCAGGGGCCACACACTTTCTCTGCCCAGCTGGGTCTCCCTTTAACCGTACATTTCACCAGATCTCAGTTTCTCCTGCGTTTGTGTATCACTTCTCTCCGGGTCCCCATTCCATCCCATCCATTCATCAAACATCTACCGAGCACCCACTGAGGCCACACGTTGTGAAAGCGCTCAGGGTTCGCAAAGAAGTGTAAGATCCAGTGCCTGTGCTCAGAGAGCTTCCAGTCTTGCAGCAGGAGTCAGATAACCACAGAAACAACGGTGATGCTCAGGAGAGTGTGATCATGGCCTTCCAAAATGGGTACAAAGGCACAGGGAGAAGCATATTGGTTTAGAGGAAGGGAGGTGACATTTGAGCTGGGTGCCACAGGGTGTACAGGATTTTAACAGGTGAAGTTGGCAGGAAGGTATCTATGTTTGCAAGAGGTGCAGGAGGAAGGGCAGTGAAGCAGGAGTGGGGAGTATATGCAGTGGTTTCTCCAACTTGTTCCTTCAAATAGGGTACTAAAGGAGGCGAGTAACAGAAAAGCCAATTACAAGTTGTTTAGTAATAATAATCCATTATATCCCACAGCAAGTAAGCAGTTCCAGAGTTGGTTAATTTAGCAGTTTCATGGTGTCAGGGCTCTGTGTCAGCTTCTCTGCAATTTTCTTGGCCTTCCCTCTCTTATTTAAAAGACAGTTTCGGAAGCTCTATGCATCACACCCTCATACAACAAAGTTCAAAAGCAAAAAGGGGCATGTGTCTGGCTGTGATTCACTTTATAAGTGAGAAAAATATCCCCTGAAGCTCTTAGCAGTCTGCCATTCTTTGGCCAGGATAGCATTGCTTGTCCACGTCCTAGCTGATCCCTGGCAATGGGGAATGGACTGAATATGATTGACTTAAAACCCACCATCATTGACTTCATGGACCCAGGGAGGGGTTCATGAGGCACTGTGCTGCCAGATACCAGAATAAAATTGGCATTTGAATTGCAAAGAATAAGGGAGTTTATGCTCCCATATGTTTGCTTTCCCACATCTTTGGAAGCCTTTGTATAGTATAGTTCCTTTTCCTTGGAGTGACATGTTGACACTGTCACTTTGTTCCCAGGAGCTCCCAAAGTGCTCTGTATGCCTCTCACCACACTACGTTGTAGGACTCACTTTATTGTTTGCCTCTTCCACTTGACTGCAAGCATGTTGAGAGCAGGGACCATCTTTGACCATTTTGTATCTGCTTTGTATGCCTTGCCCTTTGCCTGGCTTACATTAGATGCTCAATATGTGTTTGTTGAATGAATAAAGGTTTGGCGAGTGAATGAATGAGTAAGCAGGGGGAGGTGAGGCTAGGTATCTCAGGTGAGGGGGTGCCATGAGTGAGTCTCATTGGGTACATAGGTGGTCTTCCTTCCCTTGCTTTTATGCCCAAACCATTGACCAAACTTTACACCAGACCATGGGGCAGCTCGTGCCAGGCAGCTCAGCACCTTTAATCAGCTTATGTAGCAGAGACAGGTAAGCAATTTCTATGTTGTAATTTGGTAAGATGTGAGTGAGGGAAGACTAGGACAGGGAAAGGAGGGAGGAAAAATCCCCTCTGGGGAAACTGATGAAATATTCTTGGCCACTTATTGGAATATCTGATTTACTGTCCTATATCTTCATCCTCACCCTCACCTTGATAATTTATAGCTTTTAATTCCTGGTGAAAGCTCACAATGAATTGATCATAGCCATAGACTCAATGGGGTTGACTGTCTTTAAGCTAATAAAATCTTCTCCCCCTTGCTGAGCCATCACCAAGAATGTTCAGCCAATAAAGCCACTTTGAAAAGCTTATCAAATTCACATTTTCATCTTGATTAAATAGACGGCAGCCAGTGGGCTGTAACTGTCACATAACAACAACAGAAAAATCAGGGATCCCTAAGTCCTTGAGAAGGGAACACTGGTGCCTTCATCCTGAGCTGCGTGGTGAGCTCTCATTCCCAAACCCAATCCTAATTCCCCCTCATCGCTAATTCTAAGGAAAGCAAAGACATGAGCAGGTGGTAAGCGCGCCTTCCCTTCTGTCCCCTTCTGGATCAGCCACCTTTGGTACCTGAGGACTTAAGGAATGTTATGCACATGTGAAGACCAAGGTTGTGTCTGAATCCTTGGTGCTGTGTGATAGTTAAGAACTCGGGCTACTTAGCCGGTTCAAATCCTGACTCTGCAACCTAGTAACTTGTGATTTTGAGCAAGTTACTTCTAAACCCTATGAGGCTACATTTCTTTCTCTGCAATATGAGGATAATATTCACGCTTACCTCATAAGCTTGTTGTGACGAATAAAAGCCATCATGGGTAAAGAGCCTAGAGGAAGGTGCCTCTTACAGAGTTAATAAATGCAATAAATGTTATTGTTTATTATGATTATGCTTCTCATTGTCCAAGCCTGCATCTTTAGAAACAAGAGGGGTGAAACCAGAGGCCTCTTGGAGAAAATGAGTACTTTTATTCCACCCGGAGCCACCAGGCTTCAGTCCTCAAAAAATGTCCTCCCAGAAAAACGGACAAAGCAAAGGCATCACCAGTGAGTGAGGCTGATTTGTTTTGAAAAGAATCTTATGATTGGAGAAGAAAACCAAATCTGCTCCATGAAATTGAGCTACAGATAATAAAAGTGTCAACGTGGGACAGCAGTCGGAATACTGACTCTGTTGGAAAAAAAAAACAAAACTCATCATGGTTCAGAAAAATAGATATCCAGGCACCTTGTCAGTGCATCTTGTCCCTCTGTGTCGCTCCGGCAGCGGATCTGCTTCGTTTACTGATAACAAAAAAAGAGAAAAGAAAAGAAGGAAGTTTTTATTATCTCCGAGCTGAGCGCCGCGGGGCCAATATAGCCGTCCATGGAAGACTGCACCAGCGCCCCGTTCCCAGCCTCATGCATCATTGGCTGAACCGACAGCGGAGCACAAACTTCATCGTTCCTCCCAGCCCCGGGGATGAGCCGTAGGGAGAGGGAGAGAGGATGCTCTCAGTTCAGGGGGAATGCTAAAGACTCCCCTCCAAAGCTTCCCTCTTCCCCGGAATTACAGGGGTCCCGGTAGACCCGGCCATAGGAGAGCTGGCAGCCTGGGGAAAAGGGGCAGAGTGGTGTCACAGGTGCAGGCGAGTCTAGAGAACATAGCCGTGTGACAGTGAGTTAAAGGGCAGGAACATGCCCTCTTTTGTGAGTCACAGCGCCTCTAGCAACCCCCATCAGGGTGCTGGTCTCACTGCACCACCGCCAGGATGACCCCATGGAGCATGCGTGTCTTCCACCCCCTCCTCCCCATCTCACCTGCTTTGGTACCCACGTGGCTAGCACCATGCCCGGCACTGAGCAGGCTCTGTGCACAGACTCAATGAACTAACCGGACAGAACTCAGGGACAGTAAGAGGGAGAAATGCGACAGGGGTAGGTATCCCCTGAATCATTTTGAGGTGCTAACATTGCTAACGACACCTCTGAGGAAGAAGAGGAAGGCACTTGTCAGTCTTCCAGCATACCGCTGTCACCTGGGCCGCTTTTGAAAGTGCAAACGACTAGTTTCCATTCTGTCCCAGGCTCGCAGACAGTCCAGCCGCTCCTGAGGGCGAGGCCTGGGCGTCATACTTATTTTTGTATTTTTTTACAAGCTATCTCCAAATGAAAGTGCTGCATCGAGAACCCGAGGAGTGAGGCATGGAACCCCGCACCCCTGCTGCCAAGAGCTCATTTCCTCAGGAGTGTCCAATAAGAGAAGAGATTGGATTTGGAGTTAGGGATGGGACAGATATAAAGAAGGACCAAACTGTTTTCCTTGTGGGTTTTGTTTCACTTATGAGAGCCCAGCGTGCCTGAATATTGCACAGTTATGAGGAGTAACTGACCGACTGCAGAATCCAGACCAGCTGCATGGCCATCCGCCGACTTACCAGGGCTTGTGAGCCCTGCATTTCCACAACCTGCGTGCAAAAGTCCCTGCGCTCATCTCAAGCCAAAACTCTCAACACCAGTGTCCATTTGGACCCTGATCCCTAGCACGTGGCCTTCTGTGGGTGGACCTCGCCTAGGAAACAAGCCTGGCTGGGGTCTTCCTCAGTGACCAGGCGCTCAGTTAGGGAGCCCAGGGGGTGACAACCTTTCTCTGCAAAAAGCCAAAGAGTAAATAATTTGGGCTATGTTGGACGTGCCATCTCTGTGTGCAATCACTCCACCCTGTCCGTGACATTTGAATTGCACATAATCGTTGTGTGTCACGAAATATTCTTCTCCTTTTGGTTTTTTTTTGCTTGTTTGCCTGTTTGTTTTGAAACAGGGTCTTGCTCTATCACCCAGGCTAGAGTGCAGTGGTGCGATCATAGTTCATTGTAACTTTGAACTCCTGGCCTCGAGTCATCCTCCTGCCTCAGCCTCTCCAATAGCTGGGACTATGGGCACATACCACAACACCCGGTTAGTTTTTCTTATTTATTTTTGTAGAGACAGGGTCTCACTATGTTGCCCAGGCTGGTCTTGAATTCCTGGCCTCAAGGGATCCTCCAGCCTTGGCCTCCCAAAGTGCTGGGATAACAGGCATGAGCCCCCACACCCGGCCCCTTCTTTTGTTTTTTAATTCGACCATTTAAAAATGTAAAAAACCATTCTCATCCTGCTGGCTATATAAAAACAGGAACAGGACAGATTTGGCCCACGGGCCACAGTTTGCTGATGCCCAAGTTAGCCAAAGGGCTGTGGCCTGTAGCTAGAAAACTGCCTTGAGCCTCAGCATCCTGTTTCACAGGGACAGAAGATTGCAAAGAAAACTCAACCCTGATGATATCACAGGCTAGCTCTGCTCAAAAAGGCACTGAAGGAGGTTTAGGGGGGACCCTCAGAACCTAGAATCTATGCTAAGACTTACATTCCCATAGAAGAAAAGAGGCGTGCAGATGAGGATGGGAGTGGAGGGGTAAATAACAATTTAAAATTTTTAACGGATGCTTGCAAGTACAGTGTCTGTTAAAAGCATCTGGCAAACCCGAGAAAAGGCTTCTGATTGTGCTGGCTGGAACCTATTCACATGGTAATGATTTTTTAGGATATTAAAGAAAAGGCGATATTCAAGAAGGAAAAATACTTAGGAAGAAGAAAACAATTAGTTTCTATTCCTACAATAGAATCATCATTTGAGAGAGACAGAGAGGGAGAGACGGAGACAGAGAGAAGGGGAAAAAAAAAAAAGCACTTTTTCTTCCCTCCCAAGTATAGATACATGTGGGTCTAGTATTACTTTCAAATCACCCCCAACGGGTTTTTTTTCTTTTTCTTGCACTATGATCCTTGTCTGGTTCTGGATTTCCTCTCCATTGTTCAACTCTTTCATGGAAATAATTTTTCTTCTCACATATTCTGCCCAAACTCCTTTTAAGTCTATTGTGGCTGAGAACCAAGACATGAAAAAGCACACGAGCTCAAAGAAAAGGGGCGAGTGAGGCCGGACTCTGGGGTGTGAGCTATCCTCTGTGCCCGAGGTGTGAGGATGTGTCCCGACTCCATCCGGGATGAGCGTCGGGGGGGACAGTACCATTGTCTTTCGGAATATATGGCATCGGAGCTGTGGGAAGGCTGAGGGGCCTACACGCAGGGTAAGACGGGTCGTGCTGATCGGGACATATACCTGGAAAGCAAACATCTCTTCTTTCTCCCTGCACCCATTGTCTGCAGCTTCATACCCGCTTCAGTCCAAAACCTTATATTCTTTATATTGCACCAGCATTTGTTCAGCCAAGCCCAGAGCCAGCAAAATCCTGTAGACTCTGCTGAGAACATTCTATAGAATTAAAGGGTCCCTCCTCCCTCCACATAGCCCTGGCACCTTAAGACATCTCACTCTGCTTCTTTGGTTTCCAGGTTGTCCCCAAGGCTACCACTTACAGTTATGCAGATTTTTGCCCTGCCCCAACTCAGCTGAGCCAGGCAGGGATGGCCGAAGTCCAGCCTGCGTTCTGTTCACCAAGCTGTGCACCAGCAGGGCTATGTCTGATACCCCCTACTCCATCCTCATACCCAGAAAGGGCCACTCTTTTCTACACACAGATGTTTTGTCTGGCCACTTAAGCAGTCTGGCTGGGAGGCTATAACCACCCTAGAGGGGCATCTTTTTCTGATTCTCCCAAAAACACTGTGTGGGCTCACACTGGCCATGGGAGTCCTCTTCGGGGCTATTCCTCCAGGACATTCATCATCCCCACTATTTTTCTATCCTTCTTACCAACCTCAGGCTAAGGAGAGCAAGGTATGGGTCTTTTCCCAGAAACAAGAGCGATATATTGGAAGGTCTGAATCCACTGGGGGGGACAAACAGGGGCAGGTGCTCACCACTAGCCAGAGCTTCCTAATGTCTCGAGAGAGCAACAGATCTACAGCTACTTGTAGGCTGAATGGCAGTGTCCGCTTCTCCTTCTGGCTCTCGTGGTCAGTAGTGTCTGAGGCGATTCCGCTGCAGAGCCCGTCCTAGCACTCTCCCTTCCCACCATTCAGCCGCGTATCCGGCTTGCTCGGTCCAGGCATCAAAGACATACTGTGTTTCCTCGAAAATAAGACAGGGTCTTATATTTATTTTTCCTCAAGAAGACACCCTAGGGCTTATTTTCAGGGGATGTGTTATTTTTTTTAAGTACGCTACAACAATCTACATTCATTCAAATATAGTTAAGTCGTCTTCTTCTGGAACATCATCATAACTCTCTAAACCCCGAATTCCATCCTGAATTTCTTACGACTCTATTTTCTTTAGAACCATTGGCCCCAATCTCTCATGTTGAGCCATAGAGCTCTAAATGGGGCAGATGAGAAGGGCTGCTCGTTTTCTTTACTGCTCCACGACAAAATGCGTGGGTTGTGCAGATGTGCTGCGTAGCCACACCCATCACTAGGTCTTATTTTCGGGGCAGGGCTTATGTTGCGCACATGCTTAGAAATCATGCTAGGGCTTATTTGATGGGTAGGTCTTATTTTGGGGGAAACGCAGTATCTAGCACACTCACACCTGGAGCAATGCAGCTGGCAGACAGCCCCTAGAGAGCATGGTTTCTGCTCAGCTTTCTTTCCCTTGAGGTCTTGGGTTTCCTTCATTTTAATCCAATTAAAGAAAAGAAAAATCAGTAAGTTTTTAGCAGGAGTGGAAAAGGGCTCTATTGACAGCAGCTTAATCATGGTGCTAAGCGAGGTTAATTTCCTCCCTTGGTCTCTAATAGGCCTGGTACTGGATATGAATTTTTCAGCCGATGCCACACTCAGGTCACCTGGCTGCCCATTTTAATCAGGAGGCTTCCCCAGCTCTAATTTTTATGTTTCTAACCGCTCACCCAGACACTTTCTCCGGAGGCTGAAGTCATATGAACTGCAAGACAGATTGCTCCTGTGTGGGATCATCAAGCTGCGATCCAGCCTGCCCTCAGCCTTTTCCTCCCTCTTCTTCAACTCCAAACACACACACTCAGGCCTGCATCACTCAATGAGGACGATATGTTCTGAGAAGTGTGTCACTGGGCGATTTTGTCATTGTGTAAACATCCTAGAGTGTACTTACACAAACCTGGATGGGAGAGCCTGCCACACACCTAGCCTGTGTAGTATATAGCATGTCATTCCTGGGCTATACACCTGTACAGCGTGCTACTGCACTGCATACTGTAGGCAGTTGTAACACAACGGTAAGTACTTGTGTATCTAAGCATATATAGACATGGAAAATGTATCGTCCAAATAGGCATTATAACCTTAGGGGACCACCATCATATATGCAGACCAAAGTGTCATTAGGCAATGCACGACTGTATTTTCCACTTCCCAGAATCGGCCATGCCATCGCAGAAGATTGTGCTTGAGTGTGAAGATATAGGCATGCAACCTTCCTTCCCCCAGGTCACCTACGACCGGGGCCTCACTGCCACATCCTCTAACCTGAAGATGATGGAAAGATTGAAGAAGTGGGATGAGGTCAATACAAATTAAAAGAAAATTTAAACAAAGCACATAGATGAAAATCCATTAACAGTTGATGTATGGTTTGGCGACCCATGATTGTTTGCTGGGTGATAGAAGCTAGAGGCATGAAAACTGTTAGTGTCTAGGTGTGTATGGAGAAGTCCACATGGCTCTGAAAATTATCTCTCTTTTAGGTTAAATTAAGTAAAATTCTTCTGAATGGCTTCTCTGGATTGAAGAATATTCTGCAGAACTTCTGCAAAACAGGCAACACCATTAAAGGTGCTGGAAGAAATTTGGTGGAAGAGCATAGTGTATGGAAGGAAGGTGGTTGAGTTTTTCACAAATATGAAAGCTAAAGATGATCAAGATACAACCAATATATCTCCAATGTGAAGATGCACATTGTAAAGCAAATCTAAAATTACATGAAAAGAAACAAACAAAAAGAAACACCTGGCAAGGGTAAGATAATGCCAAAACTGAGGGAAGAGAGCTTTCAGGGATAGTCAAGGAGAGTGCAGTGGTTAAAGGAAAATTTTCTGTTATAACAAAAATAAATTCCCCATGCCACTTAAGGGTCCAAAGCTAGGAAAATAGCCCTAACTGGAAATAGATTTAATACATAGCTTATTTAAGCAATTAAACAGTTGTTTCTTTAAAGAACCTAAGGTTCTCTCTAAGAACCTTTATTGTAGAAGGTGCTACTGTTGCGTTTAATCAAACAAGAGGCATTTATTAAGCCCTTCCTGGCTAGATCCTGTGGAAGTTACAAAGAAAGGCCTTCACTAAAATAGTATCTTTGGTGCTTTGGCTACTCATGTATGCATCGTTTCTTCTAAAGTATTTGGTGGTAACTTTCTGAAGGGCAAGGAATTGTTTTTCCTGAGTGCCCACCAGGCACACATTACTAAAGAATGAAACAGGATCTATATCTCTCACCAGTCACAAGAATTAATTCAAGATGGATAAAGGTCTTAAATGTAAGGCATGAAACCATGAGAATTCTAGAAGAAAACGTTGGAAAAACTCTTCTAGATATGGGTCTAGGCAACGAATTTATGAAGAAGATGCCAATGGCCATCACAGCAACAACAAAAATAAATTAATGGGACTTGATTAAATCAAAACGCTTCTGCAAAGCCAAGGAAATAATTAACAAAGAAAATAGACAACCTACAGAATGGGGGGAAATATTCACAAGCTATATATCCGATAAAGGACTAATAACCAGAGTCTACAAAGAACGCAAGCAAATCAGCAAGAAAAAAATCAAACAATCCCATTAAAAAGTGGACAAAATACATGAACAGAAGCTTCTCAAAAGAAAAAAAATGTTCAATGTCACTAATCATAAGGGAAATGCAAATCAAAACCACAATGAGATATCACCTAATCAGTCAGAATGTTTTTTTATTAAAAAGTCCAAAAGCAATAAATGCTGGTGTGGATGCAGAGAGAAAGGAACACTTATATATACTGTTGGGGGGACTTAAAATGAGTACAACCTCTATGGAAATACACATGAAGATTCTTTAAAGAACTAAAAGTCAACCCACCATTTGATCAGCAATCCCATTACTAGGTATTTACCCAAAGAAAAATAAGTCATTTTATCAAAAAGACACCTGCACATGAATGTTTATTGCAGCACAATTCACAATTGCAAAGATGTGGAATCAACCCAAATGCCCACCAATGCATGAGTGGATTAACAAAATGTGGTATGTGTATACCATGGAATACTATTCAGCCACAAAGAAGGATGACTTGATGCCTCTTGCAACAATTTGGATGGGATTGGGGACCATTATCCTAAGTGAAGTATCCAAAGAATGAAAAAACAAGCACCACATGTACTCACTATTAAATTGGAACTGACTCATGAGCACACATGTTCACAGAGATAAGCAAATCTCAAAGGAAATCAAGCAAGGGAGAAGGAGGCAGAGGGGATGGGCAAAAATCCTACCTAACAGGTACAATGAACACTACCTGGGTGATGGGTACAGTTTTAACCCTTTGCACTCGGATGTCGAGTGTGGATAATGTCGAGTGGATAATGAGAAAAAAGCAAGCGAGTGCAAAGGGTTAACCCTGGCTCGAGCATCACAAAAGCAATCCACGTAACCAAAAACATTTGTACCCTCATAATACTTTAAAATTAAAAAAAAATTGTCTATATGTCATTTTTAGCTAATCACACCATGGTTCTACAAGATTGACATGTTTAAACCATTTTACAGTCAAAGTCAAGGTTGGGTGTGTTAAGTATTGTGTATAAGGTCACAAGGCTAGTGAATAGCAGAGCTCTGATTCAAGCCTAGTTCTCTCTGGCTCCGAGAGCTGAGCCCTTCTCACTCTACCATGCTGTCTCTCAGTGACCTCACCTTATTTATCTTTGTGTACCAAGACCCTAGCACACTGCCTAGCACAAGGTAGGTACAAACTAAATGATTGATGAAGAAATAAAAATGCAGTCCCTCAACTCAAAGAACTTATTTACAATCTAGCAGCAGAGTCAATACATAAAGGGGCTAAAAAATAAATAGCAATTCAAAAGATATATAACAGTCCAGTACAACAATACATAAACTGTCATAAGGCTGTATAAGATTAATTGCCAAATGAATGATACAGATAACAAGTGCTGTAGGGCTGGAATGATCTGGCAAAGCTTCATGGACGAAGAGGGATTTTTTTTAAGTGCAACTTTAATATTTATGAAGTGTCTACTCTGGGCAAAGCCTTCCATGCAAAGATAGACAAAACCCAGTCCAAGCTCTCCAAGTGCTTTGAGTATAGAAAGAGAAAGTCAAGTAGGGAGGTAAATACAAAATGAGGTTTTGAAAGCAGGGAGGACTACAGATAAACAGGGGAGAAGAGGAGATGGCTGTCCAACCACTTTGCCTTGTTTTTCTTTGCCTGTGGGCTCCCAAAACATTCTAGCAGGGCTTTGCCACTCAGAGGATGGTCCAAGGACCAACAGCATCAGCCTCATTTGGAAGCTTGCTAGAAATGCAAAATCTAGGGGCCCACCCCAAACCTACTGAGTTAGTATTTGCGCTTTATCAAGTTCCAGAGGCAATTTGTGTTGCACATTAAAGCTTGATAAATGCTGATCTAGAATTCAGAGTATTTAAGCAGCTGAAGCAACATATCACTCTCCCCATCTGTGCCACCTGTCCTGTTCCAAGGCTGTTACAATCCTCTTGGAGGTGCTTTTGTATAGTGTTTAAGGAAGCAGGTTCAGGAGTCTTGTTCTCTATCCTTCGTCTGTTGTTAGCAAATAATTCTTTTTCCTTCACCTGCACTGTATTCCCTCCCCCAAATCCCTGACTCCTGCTCACCCCTGCAGGTCACCTGTTGTTCCCAATCCCTTCTGTTCCAAAAGCCAGATAAATAATTACTCTTGCTACTCAGTCCCCTCAAATGCCAAGTTCTCTCCGGAGCTGCTGCCAAGGAGAAGGGATTGTCTTTGTGGTTAAATACAGACTCTGACCCTCCTGGCTGCCCCCTTCCAGCCCCCCCCTCCATCCCCTTCAGCCAAAATCAGCAGCAAGGGGAATAGAACAGAGAGAATGTTTTGCTTCTTCAGGTGGGAAGGTATTGATCAGGGCAGATAAGAGAAACAAAATAAAAACAAAAACAGGAGAGAAAGCAAAGGCATTCAAGTCTCAGATGCATCTTGGCTGGTATACAAAAGGGCTGTTTGAGTAGGTGCGGATTTCACCTTCAGCTACAAAAACGGGAGAGAGAAGATCTGAGAAGCCGAAGCAAACACTGAATACTTACTAGGCATTTGCAACAGGGGACGTATTAGCTGTGATGATTGAAAATCGACCTAATGGTTTCCAGGACAATTTTAATACAAGGGGGAAATAGTGTGGCCAGATTAAAAGTTAGAGCTGCTCACCATGGATGGTGAAGAAATGAGTCAGGTCCCCAAGAGAAAGGGGAGGGGAAGGGGCACAGCCGCCTCAGGCTTACCATGTATCCTACACATGCATTGCACAGGTTATCTCATTCAATCCTCACACGAGTGCCATGAGGAAGTATTATCAATCTCATTTTACAGTTAGGTAAATTGAGGCTTGAAGACCTTAGGGAACTTGCCCAGTATAGATACATACGTACATATATGTACAATTGATCCTCATTATTCATGGATTCTGTATTTGTGAATTGGTCTACTAGTGAAAATTTATTTGTAGCCCCAATTCAATGCTCATGGTCCTTTTTTGGTTTTTTGCAGACATGTAGAGAGTAGGGAAAAATTTAACTCACCCAGTGTGCATGTTCTCGGTCAAGATTCAATGAGGTGACATTCTGCCTTATTGGTTTTCTGCTCTGCAGTCTATTTAGTGCCATATATTTTTTTTACATTTTTGTGCTTTTTGTTGGTGATTTTGCTGCTAAAAATGATGCCCAAGCATAGTGTTGAAGCGTTGTCTAATGTTCCTAAGCACAAGAAG